AGGGTTTTCCACGTTAAATTTTGTGTTCTCCAGTTTTTTATTTTCAGAGGATCTTGAGCGGAGTTTCGGTGTGATCGAAATTCCCAACAAGTGGTATTCGGTGTGATCGAAATTCCCAACAAGTGGTATCAGAGCGAGGTTAGCCTAGTTGGTATTCTGAGTATGCTCTGTGGTTGCAGTTTTGTCTGATCTTCCACATCAGAAAAGATACCAAAGAGGTTTGTTCGTGCGGTGGAGCTAGTGACGGGTGGAGCTTGTGTGCAGAGTTTTTTTTTGGGGCAGTGGAGGGAATAGTTACTGTGTAAGTAGGTTCTGTCTAGGAGACTGGTTTTTAAGTGGGACCGTTGTGACCCCACCAGCCTTTCCTGGGAGCTTATTTAGAAGGGTAATTCTTTAGGGGGCAGGTCGCTACCCTCCCTGAGAATTTATCTGATCAGTACTGTTCAAGGTTGCTCGGTTTTCTGCGAAGTCAGTGTTCACTAATTTACGAAGATGTCTGGAAATAAGATGTCTGGAAATAAGATATCGAATCTGGCGAGATTTGATGTGGAGAAATTCGACGGAAAAATCAACTTTGGCTTGTGGCAAGTGCAAGTGAAGGACGTGTTAATTCAGTCAGGGTTACACAAAGCTTTGAAGGGCTCGGAAATTCCCAAAGGCAGTGCTACCAGCACCACTGAAGAAAAAGCTGGTGTGAGCAAATCTGGAATGAGCGATGAAGATTGGGAGGAACTGGATTTGAGAGCGGCAAGCGCGATACGACTGTGTTTGGCCAAGAATGTTCTTGCTAATGTGCATGGGATTTCGACGGCAAAAGCATTATGGGACAAGCTTGAGGAGTTGTATCAGGCTAAAGGAGTCTCAAATCGGGTATATCTGAAGGAGCAGTTTCACACATTGCCAATGACTGAAGGTCAAAGCATCTCAGATCACTTAAGCGTTCTCAATGGGATCGTCTCGGAGCTGGAATCCATTGGAGTGAAGATTGATAATGAGGATCAGGCGTTGAGACTCATCTGGTCTCTTCCAACTTCTTATGAACACATGAAGCCGATCTTGATTCATGGGAAGGAGAAAATTGTATTTTCTGAAGTCACTCGTAAACTTCTTGCGGAAGAGAGAAGGCTAGATGGTGGACGAAACAATTCACCGGAAGGTCAAGTCATGCTCGTCGGTGACGGAAAGAAGAGGAACTCCAGGAAGAAGCAAGTCGTGATTTGCTGGACGTGTGGACAATCTGGGCACGTAAAAAGAAATTGTCCGAAAGGAGGAGCAGGTTCGGCAAAAGGCTCCAAGTTGGTAAGTGGAGATACCGAAGAAGCTAATTTTGTCTCTCTCTCCATGGATGAGTTTTGCTAAGAGAGAAAGGGGAGTCCTTATGGCATGTCGCTAAGTGTCATGAAAGAGGACGTGTTAAAATTAGCGGGTCCACAGTTTACACACGGGCATTGGTTTGGCGGTGATGCAAGGTGTGTGGTGGAAAAAGCGTGGCGAGGGCTGATGAACTTCCAGGAAAGCCAAACGTGGAAGTTGCACCATAGATTTCAGCAAGGTTATTTCGACATGGGCCGAAGAAATGCTTGGATGCGAGTCCGAGTGGATATGCTTTTATGGTGGAGCATGATGGTGAAAGCTATGAAAAATTTCATCAAAGTGAATAGTGGCTGTCAGATGGGCCAAAATC